TGGAAAGGGACGATAAGGGTGAAAAAGTGTAAGAATGGGAATAAGAAGACGGGAAGGCTTGAGCAGTAGCATCCAAACCCCTATCCACTCTGATCGATGGAGTAGATAGGGTGCCGTTGAGTATCTGCTGCGGTGGTCAGAACATAAGGAAATTGTTTGAGAAAAAGTACGTAGTAATGTGTGGGGAAGATACTGTCAGGCTGTCCAGGTCTAGACAGGAGAACGATCAGAGTTTTCAAACAAAGCCTTTGGTTCATAAACGTGACGGCAAGGTGACGGGTTTGGCAGTGGACTACAAGGAGTCCGTTTTACGGAATAAGGGGCCACACTCATTTCAACCCCTAACCTGGATGACCAGGAGGCTGAGTTTGTCGACCGTCTAACCATTGACCAACCTGGCATGAGTGGCTCTGGAAGTTCAAAAAAATCCCCAAAATGCGTAGCTCAATGGACCGCTGAGGCACGCAAATCACCGCTTCATTGCGATGGATGCAGTAGTGCAGATTTTGATTCATTCGGAAAATGTTGTAGGAAAGGTTCATAGTATTAAACCTTATCTTAAATAATTTCTGAGTGAGCGGCACAGTAGCTGAGGTATTTTCCACCTCTAGCTAAGGTGTATAATGATGAGGATGTTGCATTCACTATGACCGCAGGTTAGATTGAGATAATTTTTGACTAGTTCGTAGGTGAGCAAAACACAGTGCTGCAACGAGTGGAGTGCGGCGACCCGGCCAAGTAGTAAACACATTAAATCCAAACAAAGCATTTAGGCATTTTGTCATCAAAGTGCGCAGACAGCAACACTAGGCGTTAAGATAGAGGCCGAAGACTGGGTTGTAGAGAAAAGTCGCGGAGCAGTTTGACTGAAGATCTGAGAAACACAGAATAGGTGTGGTCAATGTCTATGTAGCTGATGTCAAGCAGCCTCAATGACCACCGTCGCTGATATAACGGTGGTTTAAAAGAGGCCATCAAACAGTAGGGTGAAAAAAGGCCAACATGTGTCAAGGTAGTCATTGTCGCCCAGAAAATGCACATTTTTGTGTAAGATCAGAAGACTGGGAATGAGGGGATAAAATGATGTGTGTTAATGCGTTGATAAACTTATCTGCTGTGCGATTTCAAGTTTGGTTCAATGCAGTTAATCAACGATGGTAAAACAAAATGTAACTAGGTATTGTGATAGTTACGATAATGAAAATACTGGGGAAAATAAAATTAAGGATCCAAGAATATATATATATATATGTATGTATGTATGTATATATAATCTACAGTCCAAGTGGACATGGAGTCAACAGAAAAACAATAGAAATTAAAGGGAAGTACAATTTTGGTCAAAGCAGAACAAAAGATATTTTGATACTTTTACACATGTTGATTTATTTTGTCAATTTCAAGGTTAGTGGTAATAAACATGTGAACTGTAATTCTGCACACAGCCTTTCCAATGGTTCCGAGTCTTGTCTTCAAAAGTGTCAAGCTACTGGCAGTCCTCATCTTTGAGTCCCTAGTTAGGAAGTGGTACGCGTCCAACGGCGACTAGATGTGACGTCAGCGATTTCATGTGCTGGCGCCAGGTGGAAGACGGACCACCACGCGGTCGCCTCCAGCCAGGTCCTTGACGACAGAATCGAGCGTGGTGCAACAATCGCTCAGGAGCCATGCATTGGATGTGACCTAGCCATCTCAATTGGCGCAACAAGACCTGCTTGTAGAAGGGAATACACGCATTCCACAAAAAGCGACGTCGAACTTCATCACTGTGAACTCGATGTTGCCGCCACATGATCCTCCTCTCACAACCGTCGTTGAATGCAGAAAGACGACGCATGTCCTTCACGTGAATCGGCCAGGATTCGTTCACAGATAACAACACTGAACGAACAGAAGCACTGCAAACACGGTCCTTTATTGAGAATGAGGCATCACAACGCCACAAGTGCCCTAGATTGACAAATACTGGTCGGGCATTAGCGATACGAAGAGAAGTTTCCTGATGATGGTGCTTCCATTAGAAATAAAGTTCCTAAAGTAAACGAAACCACCTACCTGTTCAAGTTTTGCACCTTCAAGGATGAGTACGGGAGCATGTGTTGGCCAATCCTGGAGCAACATTTTATACTTCAATGGGGCGAAGCTCTTGTCATACTTAGATGTTTCAACCACCAAACGATCCAGAATGAGTTGTATACCTTGTGAATCGTCACCAAGTAATCCGTTAGTATCAGCATACTCTAAGTCGGTCGCGAGCTCACTCAGTAGAAGCTCTACGCTAAAATCTTGCAAATCTTCTAGTGCTCTCGACAGTACTTCCTCGATTGCGAAGTTGAAGAGGAATGGGGACATACGGCAGCCCTGATGCATAGCGCTTTTGACAAGGAAGGGCGAGGAAAGCTTGCTGTAGACCCACACTCTGTCGGTAAACTACTCTGGCAGCCCGTTCTGCAGCAGACAATGCTACAAAGTAGGTCGATGAACGGAGTCAAATGTAGTCTGTATGTCTAGGAATGCAACGACAGTGGGTCTGTGGTAAAAGTGGTGATGTTCGAGCAGTTGGCGGGGCGTGAATATTTGATCCACGCATCCACGATGTTGCGTGCCGGGTTCTCCCAGCCGCGTCAAGAGAAATAACTCATACCGGCTCTGCACACAAGCGTTCTATTCACAAGTCTGAGGTTATGTTCAATAAGCTGTGGTCATAAAAATCTCACTCGCCTACGCGACCAATAGCCTGATCGACCGCACTGAGGCAGGCGATTCCCTTCGACCCAGCTTTCAGCCACATCATCACGAAAGGGACAGAAGCCAGCTTGTTCTTCAAGGAAGTATGGTTCACGTACCGGGGATAGTCTACAAAGCAGAATGGATGTCAAAAGCTTGAAAGCAACCGACATAAGACTAATCTCGCGATGATTGACAGAAAAAGTGCGAGCGCCTATCATAAAAGTCAGAACAACAATTGCTTCATCCCAAGAAAAAGGCACTTTTCTTCATGCCAGATTGTTGCGAACAACAAGGTTAGCTGGTTAACAATTGAACGGCCGACGTACTTGAAGTGCTCCTGAGGAAGTCTGTCTGAGCCAGCAGACTTGAAATGCTTCAAGCGTCGAATCTTGAGGCAGACTTCCGCTTCGTTGGGTAGATTCAGTGGGTAAAGCCATGATAGGCAACAAGTGTGTTGCTTGTACTGATGAGTGGCGGAGGTCAGTTGAATTGCGAATGGAAGTGTTCGGCTCAGAGATCCAAAAACCTCTGTTGCTTGGTGATCGGAGACCCATTCGCCTCGCAAATAACCTCACTGGTACCAAGCTTCCTAAGGCTAGTGGGCCGAATGAATTGGAAAAGCTTGCGAATCTTACCGGAGAGGGCAGCGAGGTCTATCTCTAAAACACGCCCAGACCACCAAGCCTCGAGATCCTTGCGCAGGCTTTGCTAGAGCTGCCGGTTGTAAGATCTACGCCGCTCGTTGCAATCTGATTCTGCCGGGATATCTCTGCGGTGGTCAAACAGCTCCAGGGAGCGAGCAGAGATCTAAGCCTTTGAGGGGCGTCGGGCTATGCAGCAGCTTGGCTGTCCGGAAGTGGCTATCGCCTTCTAGATACAAGTCCAGTGTCACTCTTTGTGCTGCGGTAGATTGCAAGTGAGTGCGTCTGTCAGTGAAGACTGATAGCTTCCCTAGACCGAGGAATCAGCTAATCTGTTCGCATCAATCTTGCGGTGCTTCATTTTTGGGGGCTATCGCAAAGAGCAGCGCATGATCTGAGTGAACGAAGCAGGACCAAAAGATCTTCATCCTACCCTGGAATGCCATCTGAAGCTTATTGCAACGTGATCAATTGGAGACCACGATTGTGTTGGTGAAGGGGGACGCCACGTTTCGGAACCTTTCTTCGTATGCCTGAAATTGATGATCGAGAGAAACAGATGGTTGTCTTCGCACAATATGAGAAGTCTCTCGCCGTTATCCGAGCGGGGTGACCACCAAGATGACGTTCGGAAGGCAACATGCGATCAACCAGTGCAATGAAATCCCCAGCAGGGGCAACAACATCCGATTTGTTAAGGTTGCTTAAAAGCTGAGGAAGCGCACGATAAAAGTCGTTCTTAACCGAGTTATAACTGCAGTCAGTTGGAGCGTACGCAGAGATCGCAAACAAAAATAGAAAATAGCTTAGGAACAATGAACAAGATTTTCGGATGAAAGAGATTTGTCAAGATCGCAGCGGAAGCCTTCCAAGTAAAGGATATAATCCACTGGGACGGCAGATGCCCGTCCGAAAAGCGGAATACACCAATGCAATTACACCATTCGGTCAAATCTCCCAAAACTCGTCATTTTAACAATTTATCAACGCGCAGCTGCCCCATGCAAGATTTCCGAATCTCAGTATGATGTCAAGCTAGTTAGTCCCAAGCAGCTTCAGGAACGCGTCAGCAGCGCGAGACCGAAACCAATGATAGCTCGAAGCGGGAAGTGAGACAAACCAGTGAATGTTATGAGAGCATTTTAAAACTAAACTTCACCGACAGCTCAATCAACAAATGGTGATCGATGCGAAGCTGTCAAGACCACAAACAGTTTCTGTGATATCACGAAATAATTATGGAAAACTGTTGCTGCTTCTGGTTCTGGAATAAACAAGAGAAAGTAGGGCCAAAAGCATTTTAGCGCCGGAAATATAAACTCAAAAAGATAGCTTAATGAGATTGGCCTCTGATTCGTCAACTCGGAGTAAAAATGATTGCTGACAATCTGATTAACTTGGCGGAATAGTTTTAAAGTCGGCGATAAAGTATAGTCCAACGTCGACGTGATCACCAGAGCGCAACTGCCACAGCCCCATAAGATGGGCTGAAATGTAGTAGATTGTTGATGATGTAGCCGTAACACAGGTCAGTGGAAAAAAGGGGTCACACGACAAGTAAGTGATCCTGGAGTACGGGAGCGATGGATGTTTGGGAGGAGCAATAAATGTGATATCCCGTGGGCTTACCTTGTTCAGTTGGATGGTGCGGTCAATCAAATTGACACAGCGACCGAACACGGGAGTGCAGTAAGGCAGGAATCCAGTCCCAAGAGCAGTGGCCATGCTGGACAAGCACTCGAGTAGGGGGAACAAATCCTTTTCATCATCACGTAAGGTGTTCCACTTCTCGAACAGAGGTGGCATCAGTAGTTCAATGTAGCCCTAAAAGTGATAAGCGTTTAAATAAAACAAGCTAACACATACGGGTTGGTTAAGATGATGCCCCACGGAGTCTGCCAAGGTTCCAATAGCATCATACAAGATGAACAAATTTTTATGCTGATACTGATTTAAGGCGTATACCAACGTGCGCAAGATGATGCCCAAATGAGGTACAAGGTCAGTGCAAGCTTCTTCTTCCAATGTCGCGAAAGCGGAGCAAGCGGCTTCTTGTACACGTTTGTTAGTGTCCAAAATGCGCTTCAGTAACTAGAACAATGAAGATTAATGGCTGACAGGGAGTTTCGCACCTCAATCACGAGCGGCTTGAAGTAAGTGTCATGTGGCTGCCCGACAATCCAATGCGAGTATCGGCTTAGCGTCCAGCAAGTGATGCTGCGTATCAACGGCCTTTCGTCCGATAGACACTCGATTAGAAAGGGAACAAGCTCCGGTAGATAGGGCAGCATGCCCTTCATGCAACCTAACAGGGTGGGGCTTTAGGCATATGATGTAAACCTACCCTCAGCGATTGCACCCAGAACCAAAATGCCGGATTCCTTAACATCCCATTGTGGTGAGAACAGTAGTTCCTTCGTAATCGGAAGGAGTAATGGGAGAAAATCGGTGTGAAACACACTGGCCAACACATCCAAGGCCGCTGCGGAGCACTTTCGAAGAGTCCAGTTAGACACATAATCGTCTTCGTCGTCATCGTCATTCTACGCAAGTAAGTAAACAATGAAACCCACAGACCTCTTGAGACATGAACTTGCTCTTAGTCTTGTGAAAACGAGGTCGAATATCAGACTCCTTATCGGGTATATGGGAGTCTTCCGAGAGGTCATTCTAAAAGGATGTGGATTAGATTAGAGTTCTTACCCGCAACAAAATCATGTCACTATCAGAATACTTCATGCCTCGAACAAGAACAGGGATCAATCGATCGATGTAAGGAGTGAGCGCTTGATAACATATGGGTTGCTCTGATAGGGATAGCCAGAACTCGCAAGCCTCGCGAGAAATACTCTCATCATCGTCTTGTGTACGCAAAAGCATGAACTGCAGAACAATAATAACGTTGTCAAGACTTACCTCAATAATGTTCGGTAGGTGCTGAACCAACTGGCCTAGATGAGCCTCCAGGAGCTGCACAAACGCCGAGCACACGTGCTTTCGCACGGTTGAATCTGCATCCTCCGCAAGAGAGAACAGGCAGTGTAGAAACTGATCCACGTAGTCAATCAGAACTTGAGATCGACTGTTAATGAAATGGTTTGTGCATGCCAGTGCGTAAGACCTGAGAGAAGGCAAAAATGGATCACACAGAACTGCGCACTAAACTATCGACATTAACACAAACTGATTGTTAGCGTATGGATAAGAACTAAGTGAAATAGCCAAAAACCCAGAAGGAGGATCATAGCCGACAAGTCAACTAGCAGCTACAAATCACATTTAAAACGGCCTTCGTGAAAGCACCGTGGATCCTATCATAAGTAACAGTTGCAGTGACATACAAACCGAATGCCGAAAAAAGTTGTGCCCATTGGCTTTGAAAAAAACTAATGCCGTCGTTGAGTTTCAACAGTCGACAGGACACTGCACTATGATAAAGGGCATTGTGCAACTTACTACCCAGGACTGTACAAAGTAGGGGTTGCGGCATACAAGTGTTGAACCATTTCTAGATTCAAAGTATGATTGTGGGGGAAAATGTGGATCACACTTTGAACAATGAATACAACTTCCGAAGTGCAATCATCATCAACTAACCGAAAGAACACTGCGTTAGTGTTGTTGAGAACAAGGGTGGTAAACTGTGTGGTTGAATAAACGGGATCAGTAGAGAGACACTCGGTAGAAAAAAACATCGAAAGTCGAAACAATTAGATCGATTTAGTAACTTGGATAAAGCCGTAAGAAGACGAACACTGGCAGATGTCAACATTTCGTATTGTCTCTTCAGCGGAAACACAATAACATGAAAATATATAAAACGATAGGTAAGGTGAGACCAGAACAGATTAGAACAGGATAGGGGGCAAGCGTGATAGCCTACGCCCAGGGCAGTCGTAGGCTTACGAACAACTGTTTCTGCACGGTAATATGCGTGAGCTAATATGGTTTTGACAGTTCAGCGTAGGCTACAGTCACTGTTCGATCTGGAGTTAAGCGAAAACATCGAACTGGTTAACCTGCTATTACAGAACGTAAGCAAACAGGATGGGTTGTTTGCTGGTAAGAACAAACGGGAAGGAATTGGTCGGTACTTAAATAGTCGAAAAGTATAACCAACAGAAATTGGATTCAGTCAATAGCAACGGTCACGGGGAGCAGATGATAAGCTATATATGACGATAGCAAAATAACTGTTTCAACTTTGGGCTAGGTAAGCCAAAGTAGGATGCAAACGGATGGTATCAGGAGAGATAATAGGGATGGGCAGAGGGTGAATGAAGTGCCAAAAGGCTACGAGGTGTGAGCGATTGCAGTGAATAGCTTAGTCTGAAGAGAACTGGCTTATATTCAGAAGCCCCAGTAAGAATCTGAACGGAACTGCACTACTATTGTTTTAAGTGATGTGGACGTCACATTTCGCAGCAAAGAAGCTATGTACATGCATGAAAGCATGTATCCCTGCGTTCGAAGAGGATAACTCGACCCACCGGGTAGAAATGAGCACTCGTAACTATGATGGGACCGATAATGCGAGTATCAACTAGATCAACTGTGAAGGTGTGTAGAAAAACTCATTGCGTCCCCTTGTTGATTAATGACGCGCATCAGATATTACGCTCTAAGTCTTCGAACATGTGAACATAGCAACGACAGGTCCGAACGTGAGAAGTACGTTCGCAGGTTGGCCACCGGCCCGCGAACAAACAGAGTTGATAACATGCAGGAGTAGGCGTATTCGCTTTTGAGATGCTACCAGACAAGCTGACAGTATGACCTGGAAAGAAGGCACGCAACTTTCAGTGGTTTTAGGCCTGTGGGTCCTGGCTTGACAAATCCACGGAAAAGTCAGCGAATGGAGGTCGTTTAAGTATACGAATAGAGACCATTGTCATCAGCAGCAACCTGATGCAAGTGCGAACAAAAGGCTGAAACACCTGAAACCGCCCCGCTTTCAGGATTAAACTAGACGAGTAACGGCTTAAAAATCGCCAGAATCAGTGAGAGGCCGAAGCTACATCTACGAAAAACAACAACCGAAGTGAGATGAAAAAACTCGTCCTGAAAAAAGCGCGCGTCTGCGCTCTGGAAACGGTACAGATGATAGTCAGCAATGTCGATCAGGCGTGGGTGGAGAATACATCCGGAAAACTGGCACAAGGAAACAAAAATGATCGCCGCAAGTCGGTAACTTTTAGTTTCAACTGGGGGTGCATAAAACTAGTAAATCGGAAAGGACAGTGAATTGCTAACACTCTCGGGTCTTGTCACGCTAAAGTAGGTGTTAAATCTTCTCATTTGCTGCAATACTGAAATATGCACTTAACCTATGTGACACGATCTCAAGCCCAAACGAAGGAAAATGTCAGAAGGACCTTGTCCAAAACAACGTGTTAACCACAGTCTAACTGGGTCTGTACAAATGTGGCAGACCTTGGTCATATTTATAGGTTGTCTCATGACATTCGACTGCCAGAATTAGGTAGACTACGAACATTTGCGGTGGCAAGCTGACCCAGCCAATCTTCAGGAGAGTGGTAGTTACCTGCAGGTGTTGGAACATTCCAGTAAGTTCGAAATCAATGCGATGGTCGATCGCAACCGCTAACCACTGAAGTAATGGTTGTTTCGGGGAAATTCCTACTTGCTTTCGGGCACGTCTCCTCCTGAGATGGGGTTTGCGGTGTATGAAGAAAGCCTGGGATTGACTTGTATTCTGCTGGACGGTGTTCGAACTTTGTTGGTCCATCGCCTCGGCCGAGGCGCGCGAAAAGAGGGTCCCGGGCCTGTCGTGCGATTTCGTCGCTTGACTGACAACCATCGTCCATAGGCTCCTTTGACAGGTTGAAGCACTCCACCAACAAGCCAAACGAGAGCTGGACAAACTTTACTTCCACTGGTTGACACAGTGTTGACTGTAGCTGCTTTGTCTGGCGAAACCAAGCCTGTGTCCCAATGATCATTCCATACATAACATTCCCGCGTTTGCGCTTGATCGTGCCAGTTATCTAAGTTGCGTGACCAGATAGCACTGTCTGCTCTGGCATAAACGATCTTTCCTTAACTCCATGCCGCCGGTTAAAATCTCATTTCATTCTGCGGTTACCTTCGCGAACAGAGCGCACTGTGCTTGGTCGAATGGCATCAAAGGACATACGCATAGTTCTGTTATCATGGCATGCGCTGGTGAAACTCTATGTGGCACGTGTGCGTTGATCGGTATAGAAAGAGGAATCGGTCAATCACCTCTATACGTTCCTCTCCGAATAATGTGCGGAAAGCTCGCTTAAAAGAACTCACGAATCTCTCTGCCTGGTTACTCGATTGTGCATACCTGAAGGTATGCATAAAACAGGTCAAGCTTAGCAAATCACCTACCATCAATCGATTTTGCGAGGATGTCTTCCGGTAATGGCGATGAGTATGTTGTTGTTGAGCGCAGCATTGAGACCAGCTGAGAAATCAGCGCAGGCGCATACTTCACCATTCGCCTCCTTTCCTGCGACAATTGATGCGGTTCATGAGGAGTAGTTAACCGGTGATGAAGCCAGTTCATTCTAGCCGCTCGAACTTTCGCTCAACGAGTGGCATTGCCGCATACGGCACCGATCGTTTAGCTTTAAAGAAGGATTTGGTTTCTAGTTGCACGGTAAGCGTCGCTAGGAATTTAGTGCAATGACTCTAGCCGTCCCGAAACACAGCCAGTTGTGCTTCAGCAGACGTGTCATCTCTTCGACCGACTTCGTTGATGGGTCTGGATTCGCTCGAACTAGATTGCAGATCTGATTCAATGGAACATCGAGCGATCGCAACTTTTCAAGCCATTCTAGCCTAAGAAGACTCAAGTTTGGCCTATCTGACATTTAAACCCTCCATTTCTTCCACACTGTTGAATGCTATTGTGCAGGTAATTCCTGCGATTGATTTGAGCATACCACCGGATGCGTTGTGGGCTATTCAGTGAGACTTTATCGTTGTTGGCCTAGTTATGTGATTCCAAATGTTCCTAGAAACGATGGTTAGGTCTGAGGCCGTATCTAATTGCAGCTTCGTCGGGATACCATTGATTATAATGATGATGAATCGTCATCGTGGCTCAGGATCAAGTTGAAATGCTGCAATTACCGAAAACGATTCTACATCACGCATACGAGAGTTCTTCGAAGAGTGGAACTTCTTCGAGTTATTCAGTCTGGCCTGGGTGCCAAAGTCTTCTTTATGACCCCACTTACGTCGTCTCGCAGATGTGACGTTTGAACGGGCAGAAGCGCGCAAAATGCCATTCGCCACACGATCAGCAAATTGTGCGTGGTTTGTTCGGGGCCCCTTTTTCACGATTTGCTCCGGCTAGCAATGCTGGTATCTTTCAATGCGTGAACGGTATCGGATGGCGCAGGACGACACTGTTTGATCAGGGCGGCGTCGTGCTTCAAAGTGAGCAATCGCTTGCATTCGCCAACAAGAGCCTTTAATGTCAATGTTGCGTTTTGATCAAGCTTAATATGAAGCCTCGTGTGGATCACAGCATCACGGAGGGATTGGAGAGCACTGACGAAAATGAGACACTTAAGTTGGTCATCCGTCAAAGAGCTAAGCTTGAAACGCACATATATGGGGTTAACCATGTCTGTTGGCACCCCATAATCGTCCATTTTCCGTGTGGCAATCTTAAGGCATTGAATCAAGATTGCTGAACAGAGAAACTGACTCACACAATATTTCACTGCACTGTGACACCGATTCGTCGAAAGTCAGGTCCTTTGGTAGTATTGGTAGAATACTGTCAATGAATCTGGAATGTTCTCATTTGCCAAGCTTGCCGAGTAATAAACGCACTCTCCAGGGATCGACCTGACGACTGAAGTCCGTCCGGAGCATGTCTTTTCGGCATTTGAACCACGCTTCAAAAGTGGAACCGGAATCTGCGTCATACTTAAATCCACTGAGCGCATTAATGAGAACATCAACTGAATTCGCCTGCGTGGCGCGTGCCACTGCTCCTGCAGACTACAAACTTAGGCAATTCGTCAAACTTTTAGGCATTTGTACTTGAGCATCCATATAGGATTACTGTTGTCAAAGCATCTGAAATTGTTCAGTGGAAAAATCTGCGACTCCCAG